CCAAAAAAGACCCAATAATTAACTATGCATATTTCTTTTTTGTTCTCTTTGTTGAGCACAAATCCTTGTTTTTTCTTTGTTTAACGTAGCACTTGTTCACTCTACGAAAGCAAAGCTATCTTGAATTTCTTCTCTTTAAAAAACAAGTAATGCCTTTGTTTTTTTTCCTAAAGTCATGTGCAAAGTGTCACGAATCTACGTTTTCAATTCAAAAGACATACTTGTTAAGTGGAGAAAGACCCTTATTTATTAACCCAAGACCCATCCGATATCTTACTACTGTGAGATCCATGATATTTTATCCATCCAATTGTGCTACATTCACATTGCACTGGTTTTTATCCATAACCTATAAAGGAATGGACCCTTACATTGGTTTGGGTCTATCTCGACTTTAATATCTCTTATAAGAATTCACATCAGTAGATATTTGAGTTTACTTTAATACAACTTATCTTGGGCCCATAATGACCTTTATTTGTTAACTTAAGACTTATTCCATCTCTTACTTATGCGGAATTCATGACAATACAAGGCATAATCCTCAGTGGCCAAGTAATGATTGAATGGGATTGGACCTTATTGTGAGCCATCGGGCCCTCATAAATATGACACAAAATAAAAACACTAATAAATATTAGTTGACCAAAATGTCAATTTTTAAAATTGGATGATATAAGTAGAAAATTTTGAGAAGTTGAATGACTAAATAAATAGTTTACTTTTAATTAATCTCTAGCGTTGCAACATGAGTGTTGAGTCCCATAACATGATGCTAAGGAGAAAGGAAGGAAGTTAAGAAAGATAGGAGTAAAAGAGAAGGAATAAGGAAAGTAATTTATGTTGATTTTATTTAGGTATAATATTTTAAAAAGCTTATAAATTATTTAAAAAATTTTAAATAAATTTTTATTCTTTTATTATATTCAATCAAGCTTTTATATTTTTATTTTGAGCTAAATAAGTTGTTTTAAGTAATAGTTGAATAACTGTCATTAGTTAAAATGCCACTTGTTATTTTTATGTCACATAATACTACTGTAATATATTAACATGTTATAATAGATGATAACATGACATACTAATGTGGCATGATGACATGATCATGTTACATTTTCATCCTTCACGTTCACGTCATGTCAGCATCACGCAAGTATAAATTGATAAGTGATAATTTGATTTATGACAATTAGTCAATGTTCATCATAAAAGTTTTATATAATCTAAGATAAAAATACAGAGACTTGATTGAAAATAAAATTAATGAATTATTTGAATTTTCTTGAATAATTTAGGAATTTTTCAAGTATTGTACCTTTATTTAATATGTCACATTAATAAAAATTTTTGTCATTACTAAATAAATGTCATGGGGACTTTTATCTATAGCAAAATTAAATATATTTTTACTTTTTTTGATAGCATGAAAATTAAATTGAATAATTGTTATTATTAAGAATTGAAGCAAGCAATTTTTTTAAAAAAAAAATTGAAACTTTCACATAATACTTGCCAATTCAAAACAAATTCACTCATGAAAAATGATTTCCATAAAGAGGACTCCCAAATTTTTACACTCAATTTTAAGATTTATCTTTTTACTTTATCTTCTCTCACTCCATTGAACTATGGGAAGTACTTGATTAAAAACTAATGTTGTTGTTAAACTAAAAGTTTAGTATTGTTAAATTCGAGGTGATTTAACTTGGGTATGGAATTTAAATTCGAGTTCAACTTGATTAGATTACAATTTAAATAAATATTATAAATTTATTTAACTTTAATTTTTAAAATATATTTTAAAATGTAAAATATTAATAAAAGTAATATTTTTATAATTTTTATAATAAAATAATTACTTAATGAATAGAGATTGACTTTTAAAAAAAAAGGTACGATAAATGCAAACCTTACTTGAACCAACCCATGAACAAACAACTCTAACTATAATACTAAAGTTGTTAAATTGATTAGGTTTCTCAATTTTCTTAAACAATTTATAATTGGATTACAAGTAATTTGGTATTTTACAATACAATGTGATTGTAGATAATGTGATTACAAGTAATGTGATTGCAAGTAATGTGATTGTAGGGAAAATAATATTATAGTGTTTGGTATACAAACAAAATAATGATTAAAATGCAGGGAAAATAATATTGTAGCGTTTGGTTTACAAGTGCTTTGTTGGGAACAATGTTAATTTTCAAAATTAACCCTATTTATTAAAATACAACTTTGATATACTTGTATTTTTTATTATTAATTTTTCTATAATATTATCTCTTAAATATATTTTTAATGTCATATATTTTATTTTTATTTCTTAGTATAATCTTATATATTTTATTTTCATTTCTTTAATATAATTTTTTATATTATATATTATATTTTATTTTTTACCTATATTATATAAATTTTAATTATTTTATTTTATTTTATTTTTTGATTTTTAAATTATATATTTTATTTTAATAATTTTTATTTTAATTATAACTTTATAAAGTATTTTTAATAAGATAATAAAGTTGAAGGATAAAAATGTGTTTAAAAACATTGTAGAGTGCAATGTAATGTGATTGCATTGGTTTTGGATTGTAATTACATTACATTCATTTTTTGTAATGTGATTGTATTACAATCTTACAGTTCTGTTGTAAAATAAATACTGTGATATAATTTAATTGAGCATATTGTAAATAATGTGCTTTTACATTTCTCGTACTAAAGGTTATTTTAATAAAAATTTAAAAATATATATTTAAAATTAATTTAGTTTTGTAGTTAAAATTACATTTAATCGTAATCAATAAATTTGATAACAAACAAAATATAAAATGAATTAGAAAATCATAATTTAAAATTTCGATTGTTACAAATTTATTGATAAAACCGTAAACCAAAAATTTGTCAAAGCCACGTCACCTCCTTGTACATCACAAAAAGCCTAGCTGTAATATGTAGGATGGAGTCGTACAATAACTAAAAAACCAAAGACATATACATGTCATGCGTATATCATCTGTCAAAGTCGCCGTCAGGCGACCCTTCCTATACCCCACGCACCCACGCTCTCTCT